AAAGATGAGACGTTGTGTTCGTTCCTCAATCACGCGATATTTATTAAACCCGATTCATTTGGAAATGAAATACAGTTAAAATAGCTAATTATTCTAGATAATTATTCTAGTTTTTGATTAAAATTAAAAATGATATGTATACTGAATACGTACTCATTCGACCCTGTGCTTAACCTTCGGATGGCGGACCATGGAGAGAGCCACAATTTTTTAAATTTAATTTTGTATTTGATATTATTTTCATCTTCTAAATTTCTCACTATTCCTTTAAAAACTATATATTTAATTTTAAGTTAATATCCTTGTACACGTTTTATGAGTTTGGGTCAGGAATGACCCAGGAATGAATAATAAACAGTTTAAGGTATTCTGGTATATTTTAAAATAACTTTCCAGGGCGACTTCGTATGAAAAAATGTTTTATACATTTCTTGTTCGTATTGAAATTACATATAAAATGAGATCTAATTGCTCGTGATTGGTACCATAGTTAAGTTGCAAAATGGAAAAGATTGTAGAAATGACGTATTTTTTGAGTAGTATAAAAATTGATATAAAAATTTGACCAAATTAATAAAAAACATTCAAAATAATTCTGATACTATATGTAATAAGTACCTGGGAGTGAAGAGTTTATTACTGGCTGTTTCTCAAATGGAAATTAAATTAATTGGCTTTTTTAAATAGCACTGTATATTCTTCGATTCATATTTTTACCACGTTCCGTCCGACTCAACAAATCACAGTATGCAGTGAGTTGTTACTCCGATCCGAACGTGTATAACAACACGAAAAAATCAATCGAGTGATACTTTTATGTATTTTTTTAATTATTTGTTCATAGAATAATTTTTTATTCGTGGAGCACAGTTCAGAGATTGATTATTTAAATCTAAATGTAATGTATGAAATATATGCAAATTAGATAGTACTGAAAATAAAAAAGAACAATGGAGAGGAGTTACTTAGGAATACCAAAAGTTAAAACTTTTTCTGTAATAAAATGTAAACTGATAGCATTGCTTTTTGTTATATTAGTTTTACACAGTAGTGATCGGATTCTCAACTAAGTTGGCGGATGGTTCCACAACAAAAATATCCTAACGTGGGTCCAGTTGAGTGTTTTAAACTCTATTAGAACTGCCAGCTGAGACCCGAAGCTTGGAAAAGTTGTTTTAGCACCTCTTAATTTGGAAACACCCACTTCTTTCACTTCTTCGACCCGGATGCACTAATGTATCAGGGTTGTGCATTAATTGCTTTGAAATTAGAAAAGTACAAATGAAAAATAAAAATACGGAGATTATTTCTCAAATTGCATTACATTAATTAATTTGAAATAATTACAAGTACATGCAATATGTATTTTTCAACACGAGCTCGAAATAGTTATGTTTGAAATGATCATTTTTCTCATTAGACATGTAATGAAATATTTCACTATTATTTCATTAGTCGTGATTTCATATCATCCAATCTGCGTGTTCGTACAAAAATGATATTCTTTGTATCAGGTTATTTTTCTATTATTTAATTTAATTTAATTGTTTAAGGTCGCATACACCTCGTGGTTATTAGCGACCACTTATTCTTTTATTTTTCTATTTTCTTATTTCCATTTTTCTATTACATTATTATTATTTTTCTATTTTTCAGTTACTTTTCCATTTTCATATTATTCTTTAATTTTATTTTCTATTTTTCTATTTCTCTACTGTTTCTACTGTTTCTAATGGATCTTACAAAAATTATGATTTCAATTAATTATTCCAATTGGTACATTTCAAATAAATATTTTCAGTACACTAGTAAGTACGTTCAAATAATATTACATTCAAATATCTAAAAGTATTTGAATTACAGGTATAAGAATCCAACTCTGATAATAGATCTGTTTGGTATTTTAATTTTCAACTCGGAGATATTAACTGAGTCACCATTTTAACGAATGTCCTTGCGGTTCACGGAGAAATGGCGGATACAGTAAAAATAGGGGAGTGGAAAAGGTTTCACGTAGTTTTGTCTTTGAGGCACCGAGGTGGTCGATGATAGTGCCTCGTGGAGATTCGTGATTGCGTTCGTTTTGCTCGAATTACCCTGTAGACGAGTAAAGCTTCGAATACCACAGACTGGCTCGACCGAATAAAGCACTCGAACAAACAATACGGCTTCCCCCAGATGCTTCCGGTCTCTTATTTCACCGGATAGCTGCGTGAACACGTGCCCCGTTTCCTCCTCTTCTTTCTTCTTCCGTTAAAGGGCGAGTCATTTCCCCTCCTCCTTGCCATTCCTTCAATGCATTCGATAATTTGATAGCAAGGATCAGTGCAGAGAAAATTTGCGTTCCTTTCTTCTCTGTTGGTACACTTCCGTAATATCTGATTTTCTACTTCCATAAATTTTAGTAACATTACCAGTGACGTTATTTTGCCACGCAATGTTGATCCACAAAAATTCTTAAACCAACAAAGAATTCCTTTATTTTTCTAATTGAAAATACTTATACATAATGAAAATAATAAATTATTGTAAAAATAATAGATAATATTTGGTAAAAAATATTAGTACTTAATAAAACTTTCAACAGGATTATCCTCATAATCCAAAGAAACGTTAATTATCGCTTTTACCTTCTTAGTTGTTTTATGATTCAGTTCTTCTTATAGAGTTACTTAATTTATGTATGTAAAAAATGGTACTTTTATATGATTAACCCTTGAATAGCAGGGTCTAGGTCAATCGAGACCCAAACTTACAAACCATGTACAAAGATATTAACCTGAAGTTAAATGTGTAATTTATAAACGAAAGGGTTTCATATATTGAAAAAATAATTTTTAGAAGAACAGTTAAAATTGAGAAAATGGAAGTAATACGAAATAGAAAATTAAATTAAAATTAGGGTTCTCTCCGTACGAGGGTTAAAAATGATGTTAATCTAAGAAACACGATTACTTGTAGGACGAAGTTAATTTATCTTACTAAAATTTTATAGTATGTATACCTAATTTTTAAATAATAGGTTCTATGAAAAATTATTGTATAGTTTTTAAATGAGCATTACACTATGATTGTAAAGATTGGGAAATCAACTATTTCTTTTGCTTTTGTTTTAGAATTTCATATTTCTAAATACGTAGAACTAAAAACCTTAAAAATATCGTTGTTAAAAAAAATGAGATACAAAATTTCTAACTAAATGACTTATGTATAACCGTGAATATACCGTCTGTCATAACTTTCTAATCATTATTTAAAAAAGTAATTAGTACATTTTTAATTTCTTAGAATCTAGAATATTATTCATTCCTGATCAGTACAAAACTTTCCTGTTTTTGACATCGTTCCTTCTGAAATATTCCCACCTGAAAATAAAATTGATATTTGTTAGGTCCATTGTTGATATTTGATATTTTACATGGTATCATGTAACTGATGGTACAACCGGATAGGAGCTGATTCTGTACCAAAAAATAAGTCGAAAATATATTATAAAATATGTTCATTTGAGACTTAATTTTCGAGAAAATCAAATTTAAAAATCTGCTCGGTACACATATGTACATTTAATCAAGTTTCAACTCAACGAATTTTACTGTAGATCGTCTTTATTCACGTTGATGAACGTTCTTAATATTTTTATACCATTTCAGATAAATTGAGTATGTATGCGCTTACTATTCAGGAATTTTATCCGTGAAATCCATCGAATTGAAACTTGACCAAATGTACATGCGTGTACCGAGCAGATTTTCAAATTCGATTTCCTCGGAAACGAAGTCTGAAATGAAAAAATTTAATTTTATATTTTTCGATGTAGAATCAGCTCCTGTCCGGTTATACCATCAGTTACATGACACCTTGTACATATTGTATATTTGAAAACTAAATCATACCTTTGTTTGTTATCCTTAATAAATTCATATCTTAAGAGGTTAAATTTCACGTTTGGCAATGGTATTATTGCAAACAGTCCTTGTGAACCGGGAACGATGCAGCTATGTATACAGCAAGGAAACGTTGGACCACCTGGAGGATGTTGTCGCGTGCCATTAGGAGTTCCGTTGGCAAACGTTTAACGAAGATATCCTGGAACCACGTGTCAGGGACGTAGTTCTGTATATAGTAATAAAAGCTCCTTTAACGTTTCTAGAGCCACTCGATCCTCCCCCGCCTTAGTACTTATATACGAGGGTATAGGAACGGTGCGCTCTTTCTTGGTGGGTTCGGTTTGCGTTTCCTGCGGGGCACGCGACTCGATGTCCAGCTGCTTCCTGTCTGCTGTTTCTCCGCCTTCCTCTTCCCGTTTTATCGACCAACGCGACATTCTTCTTCTCTCGTAACCGACTTTGTCCTCCTACAATACGCGATAAAAAGATAATATACTCCCTGACGATACAACGCAATTTGAGAAATAATGTTCGTAAAGTAGTTTTATTTTTTATTTCAAATACTACTTTGCCTAAACTGTATATGGTAATTATTATATTATAATTACTATATTACATAATATCATAAATATGCAATTATACAATAAACAATTATCCAAATACAATTGTATAATATACAATTACACAATATACAATTATACAAAATACAATAAACAATATCCAATTATACAGTATGCAATTATGCAGTATACAATTATGCAATATGCAATTATACAATGTATAATTATACAATATACAATTGTACAATATACTATTGTATAATATACATGTATACAATATACATTTATACAATGTACAATCATACAATGTACAATTATACAGTATACAATTATACAACTTAGAATTATACAAATTACAATTATACAATATACTATTATAGAATATACAATTATGCAAATCGCAATAATACAATTTACAATTATACAATTTACAATTATTCAATATACGAGTATGCAGTATACAATTATTCAATGTACAATTATTCAATATACAATTATACAATATACAATTATATAATATTGAATTATTCAATATACAATTATAGAATATACAATTATACAATCTACAATTATTGAATACACAATTATTAAATATACGATTATGGAATGTACAATTATTGTATACACCATTATCCAATATAGAATTATACAATACTGTACGCGCTTCGTACATGATCCTATCTCGGTCGATAACTCACGATGTCAAAATATAATCGTCGTTACACCATCTAATCACCGATTCGAACCGTTACCGTATCACAGACAGCGACCAACATTTCTTTATCTCGAGTTTCGGGTACATTAAATTAATTCAAATGCATTGCACCGCGATACATAGTGATACGCGTAATTATTTAATTAGAGACACGTTGGGTACCAGTTATATTTAATACACAATCAGTGACCGCAGCTGTGTCGTTATTCTTCTCCTCGAAGCCCACGTCTTTGAAACTACGGAATCCAGTTAGTAATTTTCAATTCACTAATATCCAGCTTCAAACATTTGGTCCTTTGGATTAGGATCGAGGATAAACCAGTAATCGTCAACCTGAAACCGACATTTTAACTCGTTAACGGCCATGAGTAACCTTGAAGAAATGCTGCACAAGCAAACGCAGACGTTACGGTCAATTGATTGTGCGCTTATCAATTTCGAAAAGCTCGGTCAAGCAAAAATGACGGCAGCAACCACTCAAAACCGGATGGCGATGTTAAAAGAGGCGCGCATCCAAAGCCAAGAGCTGGATGCGAGGATCGCAGCCTACACCGATAAAGCGACAAAATCCAGTTTGCCGTACTTCGTCGAGAACCGAGCAGCAGTAAAAAGGGATAAGTTTCCGAATGGCCCCACCAAAATTGAGAACTCAGGTTCGGTATATAACCTAAATTGACTACCAGAAACCGATTAAAATTGGTTTCAGAGCTGGATGTCTTACCGTTTTTGAGATATCGTGGTAAGAAATTTGGGACTACGTATGCGCTATTCGATACTGCGCATGCGTTATTCCATACTGCGCATGCGCTATTCAATTCTGTGCATGCGCTATTCGATACTGCGCATACCCAGAACCTAACCTAATCTAAAGCACTAAATACTACTTAAAGCGAAGCAGCGGCACTCGCACTCTCACATTTGAAGAAATGACGACTTTTCTATGTCGAGTCGAGGCTTGTCTTAACTCACAACCGCTAGAACCCGTATCCGACTGCATTGACGATTACCGAACATTAACCCCCGACTATTTTTTAATCGAAGCACCACTGGTAACTTCACCTGAACCGAGCGTTCTAGAATTAGGAGACAACCTATTATCTCGTTGGGAACTACTGCAAAAAATCACCGAAACATTCTGAAAGGCATGGAGCAATGATTACTTGCATACGTTGCATCAACGACCAAAATGGAAGATGACGCAAAATCTCGCCAGAGTCGGTCAACTTATCCTGCTTCGCAACTCGAATGTTCCGCCTTGTCGATGGGAACTTGGCCGTATCATCAAATGCCACCCAGGAGATGACGACCTCGTCCAAGTAATCAGCGTAAAAACGTCGTCTGGCGAATACAAGCGTCCTATTGCGAAACTCTGTTCCCTTCCTATCACAATAGATACTGAAAGCGAGAAATCGCAGTAGTCAGGGCTACCAACATTCGTTCCTCAAATACTTATCTTGTTCCATTATTCATTCTTAGTTCTTAATTATTCTATATTTCTTTATATTTCTTTATTCTTTATTATTCTATATTTCGCACAAGTTAGCTAGTAATTAGAAATTAAACTGTACTCACAAACGCTGCGATACAACCGTTCTGCATTCCGATCATAAGCGCTTTCCACGTTAATGTATTACGATCGTCCAGTTGAATGAAGTCATTCAAAGGGGGGCGGTGTCTACGCGCTTCGTACACAATCCTTTTCTCAGTCGATAACTCACGATTTCGCCGTAACCCGACGAGTCAAAATGTAATCGTCGTTATACCATCGAATCACCGATTGGAGCGCCGCCCTTATTATAATAATAATTACCAATTCGAACCCAGTGACTACTACAGATCTGTAGTCACTGTCGAACTGTTACCGGATTGTGCGAAAGCAATTTAAAGAGAGTGACTACCGAGCGACAGTGCATTGCACGTTGACTAAAATTGACGTTGACGTTGTACAAAATTTAGAAAATGGGAATGAAAGGAAATTTTAAACATTTAAGCTTTAAATCATTTGGTAGGTCAGCAAAGACTTGGTTTATAGGTACCTTATACTTTTTTTTGTTTTCAAAAAAATATTTACTTGAGGTTCACTTAATTTCATTTAATTTCTGGTTCATCAAAAATCAGTACGAACCTAAGATATCCTCCTTCAAGTATAATTACATTTCACTTGCAGCGACTAATCGAACGCGAGGACACTTGGGACTAAATCGTGAAAAGGTTTATCTGACCTTTAAACCTCGACGAAACGTCGATGGAAAGCATAAAAATTGAAGTTCCACTTTAAGTTTGAAGTATAAGCGTCAAACTTTTGATTGTTTTCAAGGCAACGTGAAATCATCAAAAGTTCTCGAGATTTAGTGAAGCTTTTATTCGCGAGTAAAATTATTTTTGGAAATAACGGGTTCATTGTCTTCACAGCAAAAAAAGAAGAGGGGTCAAAAGAATTTTTTTTCTATGTTATTTTATTAATGTCGTGGTAATATTAAGTCTAATTTTCTTCATTTTTGTTTATTCCCAACAATATTTTCTGAAAATTTCAAAAATGTTCTGGTATTTATTAAATAAGAGTTTGTAATTTTTTTATGGAAAATGGGTTCAACTAGCCCTTCTGACCTTTTCTCAGAATATATACTACATCGTTTGACCACAACTTATCAATTTGGTTGGGGATCCGTATCAGTTTATCCTTTCTTCCATTCTGTTATAATTTTCAGGTGGATTTCTAATGTTTAGAACATAAGTTTCAACGTATTTTATTTAGGCCTGATAGCTTAGAAAAGGGATTGATTAGTTTAACAACGATAAATTAAACTCTCTCATTCCTTGTAACATTCAATTCTAAACAACGAACAGGTACATTCTCTCCTACCCATTTGGACTTTTTTTAAGTTTCTCTAATTATAATAATCATTGCACCTCCGAACTCATTCCCCCGCTAAATTAGATTTGTTCTAAACTGATATCTGTGTACAGTTCCATAACAGGTGTTCTGTTTGGAGCATAATATCATTATGTTTCTTATTCCGCTTGTATAATGGTTCATTATAAAGATTCTTCCTAAATAATATTATAAACTTAATTAATAGATATTAACCCTTGAATAGCGAAGCCTCGGTCAGTTGAGATCCAAATTTATAAAATATCTAAAAGGATATTAACTTAACGTTAAATGCATAATTTTTAAACGAAAGAGCTTCATATATTGCAATAATAATTTTTCAAGGAACAGTGGAAAATTTAGAAAATAAAAATAATATAAGATACAAAATTACATTAACCCTTTGTGCTCTTTAATTTTTTTTTTACCTACCAGCAACTCCTTAATTCATTTACAAAATAGATAAAAAAAGGGGGTCTTAATAAAATATTGTATTGCAATATTAAAACATTAAAATATTCAGATTAAAACATTTTTAATTATTTTAGAAATTGCGTTGTATAATGTCGAGTCTAGCTCGACATTGGAGTTGGTGTAAGAAATGTGATATCGAGCCACATTCGACATAGGAGTAATAAGGGTTAAAATTGGGGCTCTCTCTATGGTCCGTCGTTCCAGATTTAATTATGCTAAAAAGGGTTGATTTTGAAATTAAAAAACAATGTAGTTACTGTATATCTTGTGCCCATGACATATGTATTTAAAACCGTCATTGCAAATATAGATACTTGCACATAATCTTTCCAGAAAGGAAGGTTGTTACGAAAGTTTATAATTAAACGTGTATTAACATAAAACATTTGTGTCCCGTTTGATTCGAAACTGTATCCGAAGTGTTCCAGTACTGTTTTTGAAACAGTTGCGATACATTATGCTGAAACGTTATATCCAAGTGTGTATGTACTTAGCTTTACGGTACAGTTGATGTACTCGGTGAAATAGCACTCGTGTTGTTGCTGTTGTAGTCGGTGGGAGAGGTAATGTAACAACTGTCGTGGTGTGCTACCGGTAGATGGAAGCGCATGTACTCTTGATGTAGCAACAGCAGCCGCAAAATTTCAATGCACCCCTAGGTTAAGGTTAACGTAATTTAATCCTAGTTACCTGTACAGTAGACCACAGAAGTAGGCATTGGGGGAAATAGGATTTCTGGATCTGATGGGCCAAATGCGTTAATTTTATTAACAGTCTTAACTGTTTTGTATATTGCATTTTACAAGATTTTACAACAGAATCTTAGAATTTAAAAATTTTAGAACATTAGAATACTAGAATTTTGGAATTTGAGAATTCTGGAATTTTTGGATTTTGGATTTTTGGGCTTTTGGAATTTTGGAATTTTGGGATTTTGAGATATTGAGATTTTGGGTTTTTGGAATTTTGGGATTTTTGAAAGTTTGGAATTTTGAAATTTTGAGGTTTTGGATTTTTGGAAGTGTGGAGTTTTAGAATTTCATAATTTTGGGCTTTTGGGATTCTGCAATTTTGAAAATGTAGGATTTTAAAACTTTGGAATTTTGGGTTTTTGGAACTTTGGAATTTTAGAATTTTGGTGTAATACCTTAGGATCTTAGATTGTTAGAATCTTAGAACTTTGTTGTAAAGTTTCTTTTGGCCTCGCATGAAAATGGGGCAATTCCAATTTTGAAAGAAAATTTGATTTCACATTATTTTAGCTTTTATTGAACATAAAGTGTTAATTTAACCTTAAATTAATCTTTTATAATAAACAATCTGTATGTTGCATTTTTATAAACTTCGAATACCTGAAGTCCCAATGTGTTGTTCACCTTTATATCACATGGCGGATGTCACGTAACGGACAGTCATGTATACCAGCTTTGCTTCTGTTCCTTCCGTCTCATATTGACCATTCTCTCTTACATTGACTGCTGCAATGGCACGCAAGCGCAACCTGCAATTTAAATGATATCGATTGTTTGTTATTAATCGACTTCGACAGACCCTGTATGATATTGCGTGCACGCATGCATACTCTTTCATTAAATGCACTCCTTTCTAACGGGTACCTTAAAATCGCAGTTTCCGACGTAACAACTGTTTTCGTTATTCTATAGACAAGTATAGGATCGATGGCTCAAAGTACAATGGAACAGCTGCACTTCTGTCGATTTTTACTTTTTTTACATAAATGAACTCTAGTTATGTAGTACAATATTTAAGGGGGTGGGTATTTTCATGTTCCTTTTTCTGAAAATCTACTGCAGCTATCGACTTCAAATTTTCAGAGCATCTAGTATCGTACTAGATGTGTACTTTAGCCAGAGGAGATGTTGAAAAACCAACCCTATAAATGTGTGGATTTTTTTGTACTCTTACTTTCAACATAAAGGATGCTGCCAGTCTGGTTGAAGGACGTATTTCAAAAAAGTTTTTGGCTAAAATACGTGTTACCCTTTTAGTAGTAAAAGCACACAAAATTTCAACTCGATCGGTCGAATCGTTACCGAGAAAAAGGAACATGAGTGCCGAAAAACATGATTATGCTCTCTAACAATCAAAAGCGCTGACGAAGGTCACGAATCAGTATGAAAAATCACCGTGATTGAAAATGAACGTGATCGAATCACAAGTGATTTATTAAGGCTTGTATTTTACTGGTCAGTATTTTAATCCCTTTTGGTCAGTATTTAAATATGAAGGGTCAGTATTTAAATCATTTGGTCAGTATCCTTCCATACTAACCATTCGCTATTTATGTACTAATCTAACCTAACTTAAACGAATCTAATCTAACCTAACTGTTTAGTATTTTTATAGTGACCATTTTGGTAATAAAATACTGACCAAAAGTTGATTTATATACTGACCGAAAATGGATTTAAATATTGACCATTTAATTTGTTGCTATTTATAAATAACAATTTACACCATCTTTACGTAATATACAGTATAGTAACTCGAACATTATAATAAGTAATTGAGTCTTTCTCCTTAGGGAATGCTATCGTGCTCGCTAATACACAATCTATTATTTTTCTCCATTTTTATTATTCATTAAGATGTTTTTTTAATTTATACACTGCGCTATCTGTCCGTGTCGTAGTGCAGATCGAATTTGCGGTGAATCAGCCAGGGAGGTAACTTTGCGCTCGAGCGATCCGCATGCTGTGCCAAGGATCAATCAGCAGGCAAGGGGGATCAGAATAGGGAGGAGGGAAAAACAATTTGTCGACTACGGGTACCACCGTGCTAAGATCAAACGTCGGTCAACGATCGTTTGTGTTGGTTCGCTTCTGTACGCCAATGGCGCCCGTTTCTCTGTCTCTTTTTTTATTTTTTTTTTTTATTTTCACATCGCGGCTGCTACGAGCCTCGAGTGACGGAGGTAAAGCGCGTGCCAGCAGGGTGCGGGAAAACGATTAGTTTTTAACTTGGTTCGGGGCGATTCGATCGCGTGAAATTACGGCCGGGAGGCTTGTTCGCTCTCGGCGGATTCGCTTTGGATTTTTGGCAGCTCGGCCACTGGCCCTTGCTTTTCCTTTTTTCCCCCCTCTCCGAATGTTTACGTCCGACATTTACCTGGCGGCATTGGGAACCGCTCGATTGAAATTGGTTTCGACTACGCGCTTTTACTTCGCTTGTTTTTCTTCCTTCATATCTCGGCGATCAAGAAGACGATATTCACGTATTTTTGTATTCTTGATATTACTGCTATAAGATTAACCATACAGGTAGCGATATAAGTAACAATATTTAAGACACTAATATTAAAAAATATAAATTACATAGAATTAAAAATTGAAATTTCAAAAATTAGTCAAAGATATAAAATTTGTTTCGTTTATTTAATATGTCCGTTGCCGACCACGCGATATCGCGGGCCTAATAGCGAACGTTTAAGCATTGAGGCACACAGAGACCGACTGAATGCCGTGGAAGTCACTGCTGACGTGTATCGCGGAATAAGTATACTCGAAAAGTAAAGAATACAAAAATATTATTTTGGATAGCGTGGCCATCGTGCTTGTAATTTAATATAGCAATTAGAAATTAAAAATTTGAAAATTAGTTATTTCTATTAATAATTAGAGTTTCAATATCTCTTAAAACAAATATAGTCACTCACAGTGAAAATCGTCCACCCGCAACGGGGCGGAAATTAGCTTAAATAAAACAATAAATACAAATAAAATACAATGATTGAGCATATTAAATTATTCTACATAAATAACTATATTTCTAAATTTCTAAACACATTATTCTTTTAAAATTATTGTTTCAATATATAAAATTCTGTAGGGAGAGAAAAAAGCTTCGTCTCGGGATCGTCTGCCAGACTCCTCAGTGGGGCTGACGACAGACGATCCTTGCCCCAGACGCCTATAACCCCGCTTTTCGGAACTCCTATATATCCGAATCGCATGCCGGGGGACCGCCAGCGAGAACAGACCGATTGCTGTATTTGGTTACTGTGGTAGCCATCAAGTTTTTAAGCATATTAAACATCATAGGAACCTATTTAATTGAGTGCAGTAGCGTATAAATGTAGGATGTCGGCGGAAAATAGCGTTTCGTCCTGGGATCGTCAGTCAGACTCGTCAGTGGGGCTGACAACAGACGATCCCTGGCCCCAGACACCTATCATACCGCAATTTGGACTGCATGCCGGGCGACCGCTAGCGAGAACGCTGTCATCCCGCTGCCACCTGGCGGTCGCCGACCCAAGCTAAGGGCGTCCGGGGAGACTCATCGCCTTCCCCCTCCACTAAATGCCTACAATTTTATCGTTTAAAAATTATACATTTATCTTTAGATTAGTGTCTATATATAAATATGATTTGTAAGTTTTGGTTAATCAATTCAATGGTTAAACGGTCTATGTTTCTATATTGATACTTTATTTATTTATGGTAATTTAGCTTGAGAGTATGCCAGATAGTACATTCTCGACGGCCCTTTGGTTATTGACTCTCTGCTGTCGCATATTGTTCGCCATATCACGGAATCAATGATAATCTGTCGGGGAGCTATCAAGGGAATATGATAGGTGAGGCAGAACCTCTCAATTCAGCTTTATGACCGTCTGTTGGGTGATTTGTGCTGTATGCAACCGAGCGTTACCCACGTGCAGGAGGGATTCCTTCCTGCTCACAAAATATGGCTGCTCTGCTTAAAATTTTTCTCTTCTGCATAATATCACGGAGAATATGACTACAGCGATGATTAGCCCTTATCTAAGAATCTAAAGTGAATGATAATCTATGATACTGTCTATGGTGATTGTCTACTATTTATTTGCCATTTCCATTTCTTTTTTTTTTCAAACTTGAGTATGTTGAAAAGGGCTACTTGAAAACTTAAAATATGATTTAACCCTTTGCGAACAAACATCATTGTCATAGTAATTTATAATTCCATACATGCTATTACATCAAGTCCAAAATTATTTTAACCTTAAGCCCTAAGTCCATTTGGCCCTAAAATTTTTTGCAAACTAGTATCAAGAGCTCTTTAGACTGTTTGGCTCGGAACAAGATATGGACTTGTAGACGTTTAGTGGAGGGGGAGAGGGTTTCATCTCCCCGGACGCCTTTGGTCCCGGCCGGGGACCGCTAGGTGGCGGCGAAATGATTAGTGTTCTCGCTGGCGGTCGCCCGGCATGCAGTTCGTATATATAGGAGTTCCGAATTGCGGTATGATGGGTGTCTGAAAACGCCTATTTCTTCTCTTTCCTACAGACTTAATATTATTTTTATCCTATTATAATAAAAATTAAACGATTTAGAATAAAATAATTTTTACCATCAGGGAGAGTGAAAAATTTGATATAAGAACCATATAAAATGTCATCTTTTCAAAAAAGTGGACTTAATACATTCTGACTTTGATGTCTAGCTATTGAAAAACACGTAAATCATTATAGATAACGAGTTTAAACAAGGGTCAAAATGGACTGTATTCCTCTATGCATCTATTAAACCTTTCGCTGTTTGATTGCTAACAGATGTCCGTTTAGTGGTTGTATAGGTCGTCGATCGGGAACGTTTGCTTCTCATCTCCTTTGGAGGAGCCGGTTTTGCTTCTTGACTCCGGTTGGCTGGTCCCGTGGCCTCATGGCATGTAACACGTCGCGTGTAGGCACGTGCTCTGTAATGTATAATCTAACCCATGGCCGAAGGCGGTTTGTAGGGTTGATATAAGGCGCAGACGGGCGTGAGTACGATCGGTAGTTAAAAGGAACGAAAGAAGAATAGAAAAGGCGATACTGGTTTGGAGGAATAAATTTGCGAAGATTTGTGAAATTTTCAATGTGTTTCTTTCTTTAATGAATAGGGTGGAATCAGGTTTGATGTGTGAGCTGTGTAAAGTAGAACTTCTCATCTCAAGCTTATAATAATTTTTCTAATCTCTTAAAAATCAATTTCTTTAAAAAAAATATATAAATTAGTATTTTATAATGCTGTGTCTCTAAAATTAGAATCTCAAAAAAAATGTGAAAGCAAAACATCCAGTGTCTAATAAAATGCAACTTAAATACAATGGTACCAAACTATTGTTTATTTTCTGATATTTTCTGATATAAAATATAACATTTTGAATTTACGTTAGTTCAGTTAAATTTGCCAAGAAGGTGCAATTTATTTCTGTGATAATTATAACATGTATTCACGCTTTCCTCTGAGAAAATTAATTTTCTGAATATTCATATATCAGATACTTTGGAAGGTGTTTTCAGAGGAACATTACGCCGTCGAACGTTATACCGTTAACACGTAGCTGTAAGTTAACGGTTGATTAGCTGCAAATTATAGTGCAACTATGAGCTAGTATCTTGTACTTCGTTTATGGAATTTGTGTTATAAGAATCGCGTGTAAGGTAGCGTAATAGGATGTATTTCATGGAAAATTAGAGCTATATATTATATTTGAAGTATTATCACATTAAGGTGG